TGTCCTGGAGGAAGTGCAGCCAGAATGCTCCTTGGAAGCAAGAATGGCCAGACTTCATCTCACCTATTTTGGTCATGTTGTAAGAAGGGACCATTCCTTGGAGAAGGATGTCATGCTTGGTAGGGTGGAGGGTCAACGAAAGAGGGCGAGGCCTTCAACGAGATGGATTGACATGGTGGCTGCAATGATGGGCTCAAGTATAGCAGGAATTGTGGGGCTGGCATGGGATCGGGCAGTGTTTCGTTCTGCTGTGCATGGGGTCGCTATAAGTCAGAAATGACTCGATGGCACTTAACAACAACAACAACAACTCTTGTAAAACATTGGGTGCTTTGTATCAAGTTATTTGCTTATATTTTTATAGCTACCCCTAGATTATGACTTTTTTGAGCATAGAAACCATGTAACAGTGCCTGCCACATATTGGGTATTCACTAAATATCTGATTAAGAAAGGGAGTTATTTCATATACCTTTTTAATCCCAACTTTGTTTCTCAAGCTCTGTTCATGATAGATACTCTTACAAATAATATGTCTTTCAAAATGGAATAGTGTCTTTAAAAATGTTTTCCTTTGGCTCCTGAAACGTGGACACTGCTCTTCTATTAATTGTATTTCAATTTGGTATTTTTGAATGGTAAAATCAGGTCAGTACATCCATTCTTTTATAATACCACTTTTGTTTTGTACATTTTATATTGGATTTTCTGGAATAATTTAGAGAGAATCACTGGAAAAGCTATTGATATAGCTGATCGATCAAGTTGTGTCCTTTCCTTTAGACACAGTTTAAGATTGAATTTTTAGCTCTCATCATCACATTGTATGAAAAGGTTGCTTTCTACAGCTTTCTTTGCAGCAGTTGGCTTTCTGAGCATATCTATATCTATATCTATATCTATATATTTTATGGTGTAATCTCCAAATGATCATTCATGATCATCAATAGATTGATGTTACACAACTTCCACTTTTCTTTACAATATAACTTTTTACTCTCTTTGATTGCTAGGGCTGTTTTCAGAATTACTGTTTAGTCCATAGAAGTAAGGAGGTGAAGAGCTGAGGATGGCTGGGAGAAAGAGTAGATTGTACTTAGATCCAGTAGACACCATGGTCAAATGAAAGCTGTACCAGGGATTCATGTTACCCATGGTATCCTTGACTTGGAAGGAAAGACCAAGGTTCAGGAGGGACTAATGTATAGGTAGAAGAGAGAAAAGGTACCTGGCATGGCTCTTCCCAAAATTCTGTCCCAGACATAAACTTATACTTTCTCAGGAAGGGCCTCAGGCTAAGAACATAGATGAAAAAAGATAGAAGAAAAAGAGAAACCGAGATAGAACTCTGGGAAGGGCTGCCCTGTTCTGAAGAACTACAGGGAGGGGAACAGAAAATCTTGCTGTTCTTTTGGCTTTGATGTTTTAGAATTGGTGCTAATGCATCAGACTATATTAACCAATAAAGATAAACAAAAGGCCCTTTTTCCTCATACTTTCATATGTGCCCCTTCCTATTCAGAAGCTAGACCAGAGTAGAACCCGCAGTGACACTTTGCTCTTGATGTTTAATTTTATAAGCACATATTTTACCCTTCTGGAATCGGCACACTTTAGAGACCCAGATTTGGTCCTTTGGATAAATAGGAGTCCTCTTATTTTCTGTGGAGTGTTAGAACTTGTGTCATTACTGTGACTAAATTATTATATTGTAAATTTCCTCACCATTGCTGATCTTCCTGTTACCGCAGATGATGCTCCCACGAGGGTCCTGCCCATAAAGGGTGGTCAGCTGCTACGCTCACAGATGGCTGCCCTCTTGATGAAGAGGCTTCGCCATACTTTCCGGGCCTGGAAAGGCACACTCTTGGATCTGCTTCTGCCTATCCTCTTTGTGGCCTTGGCTATGGGCTTATTTATGGTGAGGCCTTTGGCCATCAACTACCCTCCCCTCAAACTGGCACCTGGCCATTATGAAAGGACAGAAACTTATTTTTTCAGGTAAGAACTTTTTTTTTTCTTTACTTAAAAATGATTTGAAAGAGATTATAAATGACAAGTGCCTTGATGCTTTAAGGATTTTGTAGTAAAATTTCAAATGAAAAATTTAAAATATAAATGTAATTTTTATTATTGTGGAGGTCTGAGTCAACAAGGATAATCTTGGAGAAGTTCTTGCTTATTAAGACATATCTGACAAGCAGATGCCATAGGAAAGAAGACACAGTGCTTGTCTCACACCTGTGCATCCTTGGCAACACTGGTCCCTCCTCAGGCCTCAGGGTCCTTCTGTGAAAGTTACACTGTACCATGGGCTAACACACAAAGGGCCCACCATGCACAGGGGCGTAGGCCCTTGGTAGGAACTGATAGAGACAGATGTTTTCCATAATTCGGAGTTTTTATGATTTTGGAAAAGTATATAAATTAAATACTTCACAATACCCTCAACAGGTGGTTCTGGACAGCAGGTCATAATCAAGATCTTTATAGATCCCTATGTCAGTTTAGGTCAGGTTTTGTTGCTCATAAATTCTGACCAGTCAACCTTTTGCCACCATATTTGCAAAAGAAGTAATCAAAGGTTTTTGGGCTTATGACACTTCTATACAATGTACTTCTGCACAACATTCAAAAGGATGATATAGTTGTATTAATTGACAAGAACAGATATACAAATATATTATTGAGTGAAAAAACTCATCACAAAAAGTATTGTAGTTTGATTATAGTATTATACTTTGATATTGTATATAATATAGTTTTATTATAGTATTATAGTTTGATTCAGACTGTGGATTTTAAACAGGAGCCCCTGTCTCCTACATTCATTTCCCTCTGACTGGCTGCTGTCTAGATGCAGATGTGGTCTGTAATCACTGAGTGGGCTTATCTGTGGTGAGGTTTACCATGGTTCAGGTAGCAAATACTAATAGTGTGAACATGCTACTCACCAAAATAAGATTTAGAACGTTTAGTGTCTATCTATGTATCTACATATATATTATTGCCATTTCTTATTATTGCAGGATTGTGCATATAATACTATTTATCTTTGTTGTGTTTAACTCTTATGCTCCTCCCAGTGCCTTCCTTTGCCTTGATTACTTTGTGCTGATTCTAAACAGCCACTCACTTTCTCTACTGTATTTTTATTTTGGTAATTATGTTTTTAACCTGAAAGCATTTTTTAACTACTTTAGTATTTTAATATATTTCCATATAAATTTAACAATAATTTTTACATAGATGAGATTTCAATAATTATGGATCTGAGATTTTTTTACCTGCTCTCAGAGTACTCATTTTTCATAGAAGTAATGCACTCTAACATTATTTTGAATCTTAGAATTAGATATCTCTTAATATTTTCTTCTATTTCTGAGTCATTTCTTAAAGTCACTCTTAATTAGTTTGTCCTCTTTTCTCAGAGTGATACCCAAGTTATTAAACTGAAGAATTGACATATCTGGTCCTTTTTTTCATCCATATGGATGGAATTCCTTCTGTGACAGGATATTGCATGTATTCCAAGATAACTAGCATATGTTTCACTTCTAATCATTTAGTTCCAGACAAAATAGAAAGGGACAAGTGTGTATGTTCTTAGCTTTTATTTTATTTAAATGATAGTTTAGCTAATTGTGAGGAAACAGAAAAGAAGCTACCATATAGCATTCATATTGTATGTACTGTATCCTCTTTATATTTAGGATGAACACATGACTTAGTTTTATCAGAGGATAACTTGTACTTTGACTTCCATATTAATAATTACCCCTTTCACTCTCAAATGTGTCTTTGTATAGTTGATAAATTATATGGGCATTCCACTTCTACTGAGTCTGAATATTGTGGTCTAAGTCTTAGCACAAGAATGAATTTCAAAGTAACAAAATTCTTCATGTCTTGATTCCCACCCCACACTTGGTGTCCATGGTTCACCTTATTCCTATTTTGCTGCTTCAAATGTGAGCAAATCTCACTTCATAGCACATAGACGCAATCCTTATGAACTGACATATAGTATTGCCATCACAGTTCCTCTTTACTTTCTCCTTAGAGTCACTCCTTCTTAACAGAGTGCACATAGCTTTAAAAAATAATTAGGTACTTTAGCCTTGCATTGACCTGGCCCATACATACAAATCTTATCTTATATTGTAATGAAAACTCTCAAAACAGCTTAATGCTTCTAAAATGTTAGTGTTGGGAAATGAAATTATGTACCTGGACTGAATTCATTTAACTTTCTTGAAGAATACAAATTTTCATGAAAACAAAAACCAATAGAAATACATTGGACACATTCTCTTCAGGTTGGATCTTTTCATGAATTATGTGAAAAGACAAAATCATCAGGTACAGAGAGGATTGTGTCCTTTAGGAACCCAGATAAACCAGGGGCTGTAATGACCCATTCATTAGTTCAATGGCCTCCACTCAAATGCCATTTTGGCCAGGAATGGAACAAGGACATCATAATACTCAGATGTTTGGTTTGTGAACCATTCTCCCTAATAGCAGCTCCATCTATGGCTTTTTTATATACTTCATAAGGAGGAAAATCCAAATGGGCCATGTCTAGGCTATTTTTTGTTCTGATCAACCAGTTTGTGAGCCCTATTATTGCCTGTCACTTTTATTCTGAATGAATTTGATTTTTGATTACTGTTTGTGAAAGGCTAAAGAAGTTCTCCTTTCTCATTGAGAATTGTGAAATAGGAAATTGGTAGAGCTGATTCAGGACACCTTTTGGTCCTAAACAAAATGTAAAATTTGTAAAACTCTGAAAGCTCTGCTGAAAATCTTGAATAGCATTCCATTGCCCATAAAGGGATATCTGAACAATTCATCATGGCTTATTAGGTCTTCCAGGTGCCTCAGAAGCCTCAGCTACTGCCATTTACCTGGTGCTATGAGCTCTGGTAGCATAGTGGCTAAAGCACTTGACTGCTAACCAGAAGGCTGGCGGTTCAAACCCACCAGCCACTCCTCGGAAGGAAGGTTGGGAAATCCTACTTCCGTAGTGATGTTGTTGTTGTTGTTGTTGTTGTTATGTGCCGTCAAGTCAGCCCTGACTCATGATACTGCCTCGGAAACCCAAGGAGGGGTCGCTATGAGTCGGGGCCGACTCGACGGCACATAACAACAACAACAACAACATGACATTTGACTGCTAATCAGAAGGCTTGCAGTTCAAACCCATCAGCCAATCCTCAGAAGGAAGACTCAGCAATCTACTTCCCTAGAGATACCACCTCAGAAACTCAAGCAGGGGTCACTATGAGTCAGAACCGACTTGACGGCAAAGAGTTTCGTTTGGCTTTTTATGCACTTCTTTTTTTTTTTTAAATTTATTGTGATTTGGGTGAAGGTTTACAGAGCAAATTTACTTTCCATACAGCGGTTCACATATACTTTGTCTCATGACATTGACCACAGTTTAC